AAGGAAGAATTTCTTCCTAATATGCGTTCTAATTCCCCTCCTTTTCAGTTTAACGTGACGCCTTAGGCTTTAGCTTTTATGTTTTTCAAAATCTCTGCTGCTTGTTGTGTAACTCTGACACTTGATATTAGGTGTTAGTAAATTCTCTTCGCAGGGTGGTTAGACAAAACAATCCCTTCCCAGCTAGAGAATCAAGGAGAACTGGTACCCAAAAAGCAGAAACAAGGGCAAGGGAAAGGTGGCAAGCCAGGGGGCTGAGACTTCATAACCTGAGGCTGTGGCTGGACAATTGACTCCAATGTGTAGATGAACCAAAACTTATAAAAGTGTAAAAACTCGTGACCAGGATCCATCTGGGATTCCACCTGGCTACAGCCCCGTGTATCCTTTCAATAAACACCTATTTTATTCCTTTTGCTCTGTCTAGTCTCTGTTCCAGGTCAGCCTTTCTAGGCATCAAAAGCCATTCCCTGTGTCCTGTCCCTCCATCCCTTGTCCCCAGTCCCTCTCCAGCTCTCCTGGAGCTCCTTTAGGCTCTGGAAGGGGCTTTAAGGCCTCCCTGGATCCTTCTCTTCTCCAGGCTGAACAACCCCAATTCTCTCAGCCTGTCTGCTCCCATCCTCAGAGCATCTTCACATTTTACTCTGCACTTGCTCCAAGAGGTCCAGGTCCATATCTGGGAGTCGCAAACACCCAAATATTTCCTCTGCTAGAAATGATGCTGATATGAATTTTTCCTCCTTAAGGATAAAGTTGCAGGTTCTTACTTAAGTATTTACTTATTTAAGCATTTACTTATTTAAGCATTGACTTGCAGGTTCTTATTTAAGCATTTACATTAATTTTTGATTAACAGGTCATCTGGTGTTTGGACCTCTACTTTAAATCAGAATAAATCTTTTATACCCCATGTTCAATACTGTGAGTATTACCCACTGTAGGATAGTGAGAATACAGACTAGGTAGGATACTCTAATTATCCCAATGAAATATCTGTTAATAGCCCTGAGAGGGAGAGAACCTACAAAAACAGGATGGCTACTTTGCTGAGGACTCGAAAAAAATTTAATTCATTAAGTTATGCTACCTTTATTTCACATACTTTTTTTAAAAAAATTTTGCCTCCCTCTAATCAAGGCCCTATTTCAGAAATGGGCTTTAAATCCTGCTCTGCCTTTTAAATCTAGCATGGATTTCTAGAAATAAAAGTCTCTCTCCCTCAGTATCCCACTCCCAGCAAATCCGTATTGTTGGCTGGAGTTTAAAAGAAATCCGTTTATCCCAGCGCCCTCTGCTGCTCGCTGAGCTCATGGAAAGGCAGACTTCCGAGTTCTGGCAAAATCCAGGCTTTTTGAAAGTGTTTGGTACCTTTTCCTCCAAACTAGCTTTTTTTTTTTTTTCTCCTCTTGATATTTTTTTTGTACTGCATATTCTCACGTGTATTTCAGAAATATTTTTTTTTTTAAAAAAAGCTTATTTTTAATTATAAAGCTTTCCATTTGCATTGCAGGTATCTCGAAATTTACTGCCAGCCTACTAATGGATTTACAAAATCATTGCCTTGGTGAGCAATTTATGCCTTTTCTTCATGGACAATACCAAGACTCTTCTCTTAAAAATACAACGTTCCATAATGTTTGCTGGTAAATCTGTGTTTCCTGCTACATCTCCAGACATAACCAGAGTTTTTCATAGACTCATACAATTGTAGGATGACAGTATAATTTGGATTGGAGAGGGACTTTAAAGGGTATCTTAACCCCCTGCCATGAGCAGGGACATCTTCAACCATGTCAGGTTGCTCCAAGCCCCGTGCAAAGACCTTGAATATTTCCAGAAAAGAGGCATCCATCACTTCTCTGGATAACCTGTGTCAATGTTTCACCATCCTCATTGAAAAATTCCTTCATTAGATCTAATCTGAATCTTTTTTCAGTTTAAAATCCTT